AACAGTATTGTAGTGGGATCGGGGGGGCAGGGGGCGGGGGGCGGTGATGCGTTTGAATGTTTGGAGATTGGTGTTTCTTGGAGAGAGCTGCCTGCGGTAGGAAGGAGGTGGAGGGGGGGCTGGGGGGTCCGGGGGCAGGTCGGCCGGAGCAGGGTGGGTGTGGAGTGCAGCTGGGGCGCGGGAGAACGGTGAAAGGGGGGGGCGTCGGGGCGGGGGGGGGGGGCGTGGAGCGCCGAACTCCGGCGGGTGGCGGGCGTATGTGGTTGTGCGCACAGAAAATTTTTTAGGGGTCGGGGCCTTGAACTGGCGCCGCTAGGGGACGCTGTAGACTAACTCTGGTTATGAATAAGCAGGCGCGGTTATGTTTCAGCTTCACCTGACAGAGCTCTTGAAGCGCTTTTGCGCGCGGGGGCCGGGGCGGTGTACGCAGCAGTCTTCCAAGCGCCTGGGCGTTTCGGCCAGCCTCGTTATCGAGGATCAGGCAGACTTGAGATTAACTGAGAAGATGACGTGCAGGCGCAAGGAGCCTGCTGCGCGTGATGTGGCTGATTGGCCCGGGTGTAGCGCTCGCGTCAGTGAGTGTTGGCGGCGGAAGACGGGGATTGTCGAGGTCGGTTTGCGCGTGGGCGAGCGTCGGTGGGAGCAAGGGGCGAAGCGGTAGCAGGCGTGCCGCGTGAAGTGTAGGTGGAGGAGCGGGGAACGCGAGACCGGGCCTGGTATGGCGATACAGGTGTGAGGGGGCGTGATTAGGACCGGAGCTGCGTCATGGGGTCGAGGTGGGCGAAATGGACCGAACTGTTATGCGGGCGGCCCAAGTGGGTAGTCGGCTGGGCGGAGGGGGGGGGCTAGGAAAGGAATCGGTGGCTGTGGGATTTTGTGGCAATTAAAAATGGCCTCTTAATTCTGGCGATTGTAGTGAAGTATTGGTCTTTTAGAGGTGTGTAGTTAGCCGGGGCTTTGCACTGTGAGAAGAGTTGGTATTAGCATCTCTTAACTATCGTGTGCGAGATGTGTGATTAGGGGGGGGCTTGCGGTGATTTTTTTGTCTTGGTGTAAAGCTAATAGTCATGTCGATTGTTGGCGAACCATTTTCTCAATAGCTGGGCCATGGTTTCGCGCGCTGTGCCCCCCAGTGCATTGCGCGCTGAGTCAGTATCGGTGCCGAATGCTATGTATTGACGCAATACGTGGAGTAGGCAGATGAGGGCGGTGTTGGGGAGTGGTTTGTGGATATGAATTAAATTCATTAGTTTGTTGTCAAGGTAATAATTAAGGCGATCTATAATATGTAGAGGCGTTATTGTAAGATATTAGATAGTTTTGTAGGTTGGTGTGTCATTGAAGAGTTGAAATTGTGAAACAAATTACTGTATTATTGAATTTGTTACTTGACAAGCAACAATGTTTTGTGCCACAAGCGCCGATACACAACTCCGGGCTCCACCCCTCTGCACAATGCGGAAATACCATAGTTCTCGACGCTGCGACTTTGGAGCTGAGTTAAGTTGGTGGCCCATTGGCATGCCGCGGCATGGGTGCGGTCCTATAAGTGGGCCCAGGGCGTGGCAGTTAATGTGGGGCGGCTGTTGATAGTACCGACTTTTAGAGCTCAGAAGTGCAGTGTACAGACATAGGTTATAGGCAGATTCAGGAGCGAAGGGAGTGGTCTAATCTAATGGATTGATTAGGGCAGTGCTGCCTGCTAATTAAGGTGTATTATAAATCTAATTAGTTATAACTAATTAGTGGAGCCACAGGGGCCCGACAGGCCAGGGCTTGGAGCGGGGGTCTTCAATAATAATGATGGCGAGTCTTTGCTACTTGGCGTAGGCGCCGTACCATATCTTAATCGTCTGCGAGGCTGGACAGGCTACGGGAGTCATGTCGCTTTCTATAGCTTGGGTACATGCTATCCCCGGCGCGCGTGGAGGGAAACCGCAACATGGCAGTCAAAACAAAAAAACTAGTATTAGGATTTAATAGTTAATAGTAGTATTAGTATTTATCTATTATGATTAGGTTAGGGTTATGGGATTAGGGTTAGGGTTAGGGTTACGCCGGTTTTTTGCATCATCATATCTGTCGGGGCGGCACACCATACTGAATTTGAACTTTGTTGTGGAGTCACAGTACCCGCCCATGATATAAAGCGGGGCTGCCGTATATATATATAGTTAGTGTTAGGGTTAGCGTTGGAGGTGTTGGAGTTACGGTTACCATGGATGAGTAATATATTTTTGAAGTATTAGGGCGTGCAACTGTATCACGTGACCCGTCGCGGGCTCCACGGCCCGGTGGGATGGCAACGAGGGCCCTGTCATCACTTAAGCGAAGCACAAAGATGGGTAAGGCGGTGGCGCCAGATTTCGAAATAACGGCCTTGGAAATAAAATCAGCGATTTGAGAGTTAGATGAGGCGGCAGACCAGCCCGTAACCGCTAAAACCCTATGAAGCGCAAGCCGGCTAAGCCCTAACTCCTAAACGCTAACCCTACAAACGGCTAAGCCGCTAACGCAGGGGCGCGGTTTTTTTTTTTTCTCTATCCCCCTGACAACTAACGGTTTCCGATTGGGCGTCCGGGAGGCAAGTGAAAGACTATGTCCGGACAAAACATCATCACTTGCGACTAGTTGGCGGCCGATCGACAACTGAAAAGTTATTAGTGTTTAAGTATTCCTAACATCCTCTGAGCCCAGGGGGCGGCTATCGCAGTCTTACATCTCAGCTTGCAAAGCGTGTTCAAGAGGTCCCTGAAATAAAGGGGCAGCCCCGGACATCCCAAACTGTTAGGGCCATTAGCAGATTTATTCAGAACAGCGGGCAATGGCATACCTCCCTGGCGCGGGCGAGGCATTGATCTTATGTTACTAGGTGGGGTATCGATTGTTTACTAAGTTGCGGTTTGGGTCCATAAATTCATCTGGCTGAAGTATGTAGGGGGTGGGCAATCGGCTGAGATGAGATGGCCGACAGGCAAAACCTCTTTCCTGTGATTGAGGAAACTAAGCATGGGCATCGTAATGGACTACACAATGAGTCGTCAGGCAGCAAACATAATACCTTGTGAATTTCATTACGGCGTATTTTACATGTATTCTTTTTGTATTTACTCGTTGTATAGTATAATTCATGTATATTCATAAGTACGCACGGCCATATTTTGCATTGAATAAAGTTGGTAAAAGGGCAACATTGGTACATTAACAAGATTTCTTTAAGGAGTCCTGCTGATTGTCTATAAAGTCGCAGCCCCCTGATTTTTTTGAACCATTGAACTTGTGTACAATAAAGGGCGCCGGCTTTATACAGCAACGTAAATACGGTGTAATATACTGTAAGTGTAATACCACATGGCAGTGCGGCACGCACGCTGGGCAAAGCGCGCCGACGCAGACACATGCCTAGGTATTGTTGGCGAGGCCTATATGCACGGGCAGGGAAATACTGCAAAAAATATATGCGAGTGTATTAATATATATATCTATGTTATATATTGTATATATAATTCTATTAATATAATCTATTTATTACATATAGATTCGTATATGATAATATATACACTCGCTGATAATATGATATGGGGGCCAGCTGAAGCCAAAAGCAGGAGGCATTAATCTGGCTCAATATATGAGTTGGGGCACAAAGTAAATTTAGGTACACAGTAAAATGAAAATCTGCGGACAAGTAAAAATTGGGCTTTCTTGTTGCCGCGAGAGGAGCAACGCAGATCTGAAAATAAGCGTCGAGGCCTGCCCTAACCCTAACGCCAAAAAGGGGCTTCAACGAACGACGGCTACCGTACCTCTAGCCACTGCGTAAAATGATGGTTAATAAATAAAACTTGTCAGTGCTACTACTAGACCTACCAGTACCAGTAATAGTCTTAATGTTTGATTTGACCTAATAACTTCACTTCATCACCGTCCAATACACCGCTGCAACAGATAGCGCGCACGCCCTTGTGCATGCACAAATACACAGTGATATAGAGAAGGTAAGAAAGCGTCCGCACAGAAATTCCAGAACGCTCTAATTTCTTCAAAGCACTAGAGATGAAATACACGTCCAACGGCCATGATATTGGGTAATGCTATCCGCCGGGCATGGAGGGAGGTGACCGCAACGTGGCAGCACTAGTGTTAGGATAGTGTTAGGATTAGGGTTAGGATTAGGGTTAGGGTTAGGGATAGGGTTAGGGTTAGGGTTTTTGCATCATGATATCTGTCCCCACACCATAGATTAATTTTTGTGGATCACAATACCTATATATATAGCGCTCCGAGATATATATATTTAGTGTTATGGTTAACGTTGGAGGTGTTTCAGTTAGCGTTACCGGATGATTAATGATTTTGAAGTATACGTCAACTGTATCACGTGACCCTCCCTCCACGCCCGGGGGATAGCAACACCCCATGATATTGGCATCTGTGTGTAGCTGAATGGTCACTTGTTCGAAATATACGTCTTGCAACTTGGTACCACATACTTTACCCAGAATTATATGAGAAATCCTGCTCGAATTTGCGGCAAATTTCCCATGAAGCCGATTCGTAAATGGGATAAGTACATAAGCAATGCGCCACCATTGCTCATGTACTTATCCCATTTACGGGTCCGCGCTCGACAGTTCCACTCGTGTTACACTGACGTCACGTGGAACTATCGAGCTTGAACCAGTCTACTACAAAGATAACGGCTGCGTCGGAACGTCTAGGTTTTTCATCTATATTTCTCTTCAATAACATCGTACTTCACAGTTCAATTCACAGGTGCCTTTCTGTTTATAGAAACATTTATAAATATGATTGTGCTAATTTGGGATATTGTGCAATGTTTGTGTTAATGCAGAAAGTAAAAACGCACAACTGTTGACATTTTTCGTGTACTTCTCAATGGCGCGCCGAGCCAATGTTATACCGCTTGCACTTTGACCTCAATATGGCGGCGGCACTTTCCAATCTGGCTTATTATTACTTTGCATTCAGTATCTTTTAGTATGGTTGGAAATGTTTTCCAGGTTGCCCAGAAACTAAGGAATGGTAGTTTGATTCCTAGCGAAGTATGCTCTTGGTGTATACGGCGGAGCCAGCTGGCAAAAAGACTCAATGTATTCATAACGGAATTGCCAGACTATGCACAGCAATTGGCAGAAAAGTCGGATGAACGAATAGCACTAGGTATATGCATGCATTGAGCATTGTGTTTAAAGTGATACTACACCCTATATTTTTAGGGTATATTATGTTAGTTTGTGCATAAATAATAGTATATACCTACAAATTCCTATAATCATGCATTCACATTTGTCATAAAACAACAGTGAGTTCGAAATCTTTGTTTTGGGCTGCTGACAAGAAACCGCGCGATTGTTCTGCCACTCTGACAAAGATGCGCTTTTGCCGATTTCTTTTGCTTGTTACAGACCGAGGTCTAATCACAAAACTGCTATTATATTTATACCTAACTGCTATTTATCCGAACGATTTTTATTTTAGAATAAATTATAACTGAATCTAGAAGTTGTTTATAAGATATTGCAATCCTTATCCTCTAAAATTTATAAATAAGAATCACCCTCGGTCTGTAGCCTGCAGCCGAAAAGTTAGGATGCGCAACTTTGAAAGCAGATGGGCTAGTAGTGGTGCCATCGTCGTTGTAAGCAACGATACAGCCATTGGTATTAAAACTTTTTTTTAAATATTTCTAATGGATATTGAATATTGAAATTTTTTATGTAGCCAAATTTGAAACCTATAAATTTCAACTGAAAAGATTTACATATATATATATAGACATACACGTTCGAAGGACACTTAATAGTCGATGTTTCATGAAATTCGCTGCGTTTCTTCATCTCAATTTCGCAATATACATTGAATTCGTAAAATTTCAAAACAAGTTTTAGCAATGTTAAAGAAGGTTGCACAAGTTACGCAATGCTTCGGTGCAGAGCTACGGTATGTGTGTTATTTCCTAATCAATAATATGTTCATCCACAACTTTGCTTATATTAACGGAGTAGCTATATTGAGGAGATAGATTTGGATGTATGTGACAGCTCAATGCAGTGAGCAGTAGCCACATCAGATCGGTAGCTGATCACATTACATTGCTATTACCACTTGTTTTACTCTGGATCGAATTCTTAATTAATATGAATTCATACTGATGATGTTACAGGCAAGCCTCTTGGCCTATTAGATGGTATTCCAATTGCCGTCAAAGACAACTACTGTACCGCAGGAATAAAGACGTCATGTGCGTCCTCGATGCTAGAGAACTTTTACTCACCTTACAATGCAACGGTTGTGCAGAAGGTTCTAGATGCGGGCGCTTCTGTAGTTGGGAAAACGAACATGGATGAGTTTGCAATGGGGTATGATTGAATTGGTTTGGACAGACGTGTATATGCATTCGATAGTAATATTAAATTAATAAATGCTATGCAGGGTTTCTTCTGAGGGAAAATTAGACAAAGGAGGTAATGGCCAGTTTGGGGGAAAAATGTGCATGATGGATTCAAATACAGGATGTATTGATATACTTATAGGTATATAGATACAGGATATACTTATCAGTAAATACAGGAACATTTTCACAACGGCGATGTTAAATTTGACAACGGCGGTGCGCCACTGTGTCTCTTATGTATAAGAAACCCTGCTATGTATTAGTGAAATACATAATATCAGAAGTAGATAATTATCTACTTCTGATAATATTGAATAGGTAACACAGCATGAAGGTGTGGATTTATTGTTTTATTGATACTTCGGATTTGATAAGAAAAAACAGTTGATGTGCAGAGAAAACCACATAGAGCAAAATTCGTCTGGTCTGTCCGACCAACGATTGTTTGGGGTCTAGGCAAGTCGATTTAACTTGACCACTGAACCTTTTTTCCAACGCTAATTTTCCGACTTCTGGGCACTCAGCGTTTTAAGCTGACAACAGCAATGGCATCAAATCAGTGGGTCTAGTAGAAGTCAACCCAGTGCTGGACCCACTGTGCAACAAATAAATGTTTTTTATATTCTTTTATATATAAGTCTTAAACAGTTTAGATCAAATCAGCACTTACAACTACAATATGACGTCAAATTTTTAATTGTTTTCTATTATGTGGTGTAGTTACAGTTTTAACAGTAGTGTGATCTTCATGTTCTTATAACAGGTCCGGCTCCTTAGACAGCATATATGGCCCTGTTAGAAACCCGTGGAGCCGTGTTTACGCGAGGAAACGTCAAATGTTAACAGCAGTCACGTCATCAGCTGGTGTTGCGATACAGCAAGCGCAGAGTGGCCATGGTGTGAGTCTGTCAGCTAGTCAGAGAATACCAGATAACTATGATGATAGCTACAAGAGCTTCTCCATGGAAGAAGATGATTGGTTAATAGCAGGTGGAAGTTCGGGAGGAAGTGCTGTTGCAGTAGCAAGTGGGTCATGTTTTGGGTGAGTGACATCAATATCAGACATATCTCTAGATACTAAGCCCTAAACGTCTCTGAAAAACGTAATTATAGATGTCATAGATTTAATTTAATTATTGTGATATTATAAAAGGTAAATTAAATAAATGCTATAATTGGGAAATATCTATTACCATTTTGTGATGGCATTGGCAAGCTGTTACATGGCAATGGCCATGCTTATTTTAACTAGAAATTGGTTAGCCTATAGCATCATTTTCATATACTGTGGATAAGAATTTTAGAAGTGCATTTCTACTGTCTAAAGAACATTACTCAGTGCAAGTTGGCATACACATTGATCACTTCTTATACATAGCACACATGTTATTACTTGGCTCAACTTGTCCTTCTACCCTGTAGGGCTTTATCCTCGGACACAGGTGGCTCTACACGAGTCCCCGCTTCATACTGTGGCGTCGTTGGCTATAAACCAACGTATGGACTGGTTTCAAGACATGGGCTCATTCCTCTTGTCAACTCTCTGGATACTCCCTCTATGTTTACACGATGCACAGACGACGCAGCTGCAATCTTAGGTGATATGTTCATGTAAAATAGATTGATGTCGAAATCCTAACATGATTATACTCCTGGCACATTCACAAAATGCAATAATTGAAGAACAGTGCCAATTTTAATTTACTATATTGTGTACACCGTTTGGCAAATTATTTAACTGCACATAAAATTACAACTAAACAATTAGCTGCCGTCAAATTGCTGTTGCATCTAGGCACTAACAAATTTTGTGAGTCAATTGGTCATTTGGTCAAAGTAATTTATATTCATTTTTACATTTAAACAAACTACTCAAAAACATGGCATAAAAATTAGCACGTATAATATGGTAAGTATATTATAATAGCTGTAGTTTTTTATTGGTTGCAAAAAAGTGGCTCAAGTCTGTGTTCAAACTTTAAAACACCCAGTGGGAGCTCTGTTAAGGTATCTAGCCCACTCTACTTTGTAGTAGTAGTAGTGGGCAGGGTACAACACGAAAGGCTATTTTAGTGCTTCTTTACACATTCATTAATGCAATATACCTATAACCCCAGCTTCTGTAGTAGTTATGTGGGTGTCGCCAATTTCTTCTTCCTTTATTGTAGCAACTATAAGTGGCATTGATGTGATGGACTCCACGACTGTGCAAGATTGCTCTGTTCCATTTAGTTTACCAGATGATGCCTCGATTGAGGGCCTTCACATTGGAATCCCAGAAGTAAGTAATATCTATTGTTGATTGTTGATCATTCACATACTAGCAGAGAGCTTGTGGTTTCGACATTACAGCGTGCGTGTCGAGAATGACTGTGTTTACTCTTTGTCTTGTTCAGGAGTACCACGCACCGGGTTTATCCGAGGAGACATTGGACACATGGACGTGGGTGGCAGACTTGTTTGAGCGGGCAGGTGCGAAAGTGACCCGAGTGTCCTTGCCGCATACACAGTACTCGATCGTCTGCTACTCGGTGCTGTGTGTCTGCGAGGTGGCCTCCAACATGGCACGATATGACGGGATCGAGTATGGTAAGAGTCGGCTAAGTTATCACTTGCTTGTAGTGCACGCATGCGGTCTATTTCTGCAACCTGGTTGACTCAAGCCGGAATATATGTCGCATTGTTAGTTGCGACGCATTTCTTTGGATTTCTGCTGACCAGGTCAGCCTCGTTTTGCCTCGTGCACGTAACTTTTTCGTCTGTTTGTGGTTATGAATTTTGTAATTTGGGCGTTTTGCTAGGGGTCGTAATTTGGGCGCCGGTATTCGGTATGAAAAATGGCATGGATTGGGCCCTGCTGTCAAATGCGTGGCTCTGCCTACTACGTTTACAAGTTTTCTCACTCTCACGTCGATAATTTACAGGAATTGTGTCTTGGCTTTTTTTTATTCGCATTCTTCGTGTCTTCAGGGTACAGAAGCGAGCAGGCTTTGTCTACTCACGCCCTCTATGCAGATTCACGGCACACTGGCTTCAACGATGTTGTGAGGGGACGAATTCTTGCCGGCAACTACTTTCTATTGAAACGGTATTTATTAACAAATAGGAATATTTATTGGGAATAAGGTAAAGTGACTCTGGTTCAATACTCTGTACGGTTGAGAAAAAGCAAGGTTACGCTGCAGTGCTCAATTCATAATGGTGCATCTATTTATCTTCAGTAGTAGCTAAATGCAGTGGTGCCACTTGGTTCTGTGTAATGGCGGAATTGGTATCTAATTGGTACGTCCTAATTATTTGTGCACTGTCCAATTGTTTTACATTTGTGGCATACACATAATTACCTGATTTTCTGTTTAAAAAAATTCAGGCTCACCTGCAGGTGGCTCTAGTTGTAGTTTTATGTTGACATTCTGGTTTATCTTCAACATTTAGCCCTATCCACCATATATCTGATCTCTATATTTTTTTTAGTTTCAACTTTTACGCTGTTTTGTTTACGCTTCAATTGTATGCAAAACCCTCCAGGTTAAATCGTGCGTGCACAGTCCATCCAACTTTGCATCGATTTTGCTTCTGTCGCTACACGGGGAACCTTTGCTTTGTTTTTCAGCAACTATGATGCTTACTTCGTTCAGGCACAGAAGGTGCGACAGCTGATCACTGCCGACTTCCGCCGCGCTTTTGACGCCGGCGTCGACGTCCTGCTGACACCGACGACGCTGACGGTGGCGCCACCTTACAAGGAGGCGACGCAACACGACAATCGTACGATGAGTGCGCAGGAGGACGTGTTCACTCAGCCTGCCAACATGGCCGGTGAGCGTTAGGCCGCGCATGTGCAAATGTCAAGACTATCTACCTATCTGCCCAGCATGATTGGCTGACAGCTCGAGCCTATCGGCATAGCAGCGGGACATTCTAAATATAATGCTTGGCTACAGGTCGTCGCAGAGTTGACATGTGCGTTCACACGTGTAAAACTAAGTGCAAACTGGCTGGGTGAGCTCTTGACCGACCTAGCATCAATATCCAAGAGGGTCTTGATTGTCAAACTCAAGATGGATATATCAATTTATCACTCCTTACCACTATCCGTATTAGTAAGGCCCTGTCACTTCCTTTATGGCCAGTCCTGCTTGTTCTCTTACTGTCCTCGCTTGCATTCCCTACTGTCTACAATAATCTATGTGAGTGTAGTATAGGAAAACCACTTGTTTCAATAGAATTTAAAATGTGTATGCTTCTAATACTAACATGGACAAAATTTTTAACTCCTAGTGCTGCCTACATTAGTCTCAGATGTGTCCTGTGTGTTTTACATATCGCTCAGCCCCTCGTTAAAGTAGCATTCCGGGAAGAATGTGTGTCTGAATCTCTTCTCGAAGCAATTGATAATGGCTTAAATTCGACTTGCATATTACGTGCATGAGCGTTGGCTCACCTCACCTTAAAACTCACTACATGTAGTTTCCTCTGAACCTGTCCCCTCATATACCATCATCCAGCGAGATTCGAGATTCTGTCCATGTATCTGTGATCACCTTAACATTCGGGTCTCTTCTGCATTCTGTTGACAGGTCTGCCTGCCGTGAGTGTTCCAGTGAAACTATCCAGCCAGTCACTGCCCATCGGTCTGCAGCTGATGGCCAATAACTTTGAGGACAAGCTCCTGTTGACCACTGCCAAGTGGTTGGAACAACAGGTTCAATTTAACCGACTGGACCTGGTGGAGGATAGCCTAGGTTTAGGCGAGCTAGTACATTAGCTTATCATGCGCTTCTAGAATACTACTAGGAAAAAGAACTAAATGAATCGCTCAATCTTATTACAATGTTATATCATTGCAGGAGTGAAAGTTGAAAGAAGTTAGTTTTTAGTCGCTGCTAATTGCAGTTTTGATTGTCACATCTGTAGTCGTATTCTCTGTAGTGTAGCTACTAGGTTGTACATGTACTGTTGTGAAACGGGACACGAATGCAATGAACACGAAACTATTTTTAAAAAAATTAAAAAATTTCTTGTATTAAATGTTTTTAGCTCATCTGACATAGTCAGATGCAGCTTGTAGAATCGCATGAGCGTGCGTCCGTGCGTCAACAGTTGGGCAGAAATCTTAACCGCTCGACGTACGGTCACGATATTCAGGATGTGGGGGGGTAATCCGAAAACGAGTTGGGATGTCGAAGCTGGGGGTCAAAGAAGGAACATTCCCTCCTTAACTTAAGGTATAGGGAGGAAATGCAGAATTGCGGCACAAATCTAAACGGCTCGACCTAGGCTCGTGATAGTCGGTGTATAGCATCATGGTAGGAAAAGCCATCACTGTGCCGAAATTGTAGTTTACAGGTCAAAGGTCAATGGGGCACAGGGCAGATTTTAGACATTTTCTGAGGACATGGTCTGACGGAGCGATTGGAAAACTTTTTTGTTTCCGCGGTGACCTACCATTTTTATGGCTTTATTGAAAGGACCATGAAATGTACTTTCCACTGACATGCGAAGAATAAGTGTCAGATAACCTTTTGACCCTCAAGAGACTTAAACATTGATTTGTTGACTGTTAACAAAGGACTGAACTGCTTTTGCTATTACTAGAGCCCATACCTGTGTGAATGTGAGGCTACCGTTGCACAGTTTAATTGCAAAGGCAAATGTTTGTTGAACAAGGTTTACGCTCCTTAAATCATATTATTTTCTAAAGCAGTCTGTCTATAGCATTCTGAAGGCTGAATCAGTGAATGCTCGCGTGGGTAGGCAAAAACACGGGGCAGCCCATGGCTGGAACTCTTCTAATCATAATTTTTGCCTGCCAACCTGCAATGCACATGTGCTAACTCAGAGCTGAGTGAAATTATCACCTGCCTGAATATACTTACTTGGATTTTAGACTGTAGGATTTCAGCAACTCCCCAGGGAGCTAGTTAGGGTATCTCAAGAATGGCGATGTTATCTTTAATTATTGATTACACTTGCACGCGCCATCTCGCGGCAACTATAGGCCTACTTTAAATTAGATTTTATTCTCATGTAACTTTGTTAAACGAATAAATAATAACTAGTACCATATAATATACATTTACTTTTCATCTTGAATCTTAACATATATCCTGTAGCTATGGCCGTGCGTATCCATTTACCAGTTATGCGAACATA